ATGAAACCAAAAACAGAGAGATACAGAAAAGTATTGGGTTTGCTGAAAAATGTCTCTGGACTCTACCAATGGAATAAGAAGTAAAAGCTTTGCTACAGACATTCTAAATATCCTAAAAAAATCCACCAGGTTGGATGGGGCTCTGAGCAACCCGATGTAGTTAGCGGTGTCCCTGCTCCCTGCAGGGGGGTTGGACTAGATGACCTCTAGGGGTCCCTTCCAACCCAAAACATTCTATGATTCTAAAGAGTTTAATCTCTCTGCTATGGAACTTCAGGGGATCAGACAAGCAGAAGGGGTGTCAGTCCCCACCCAGTTCGAAAGGACGCCGCAGAACCTTAAGCCCTTTTTGTTTTCACCCTATTAATTAAAGGGCTTTTTTTTCTTTCTGTCTTCGTTCAGTCTTTTGTTTGATTTTGCTTTTTCTAAGTTGCCACGCAAGCCACATGTGCTCAGGGAGGGTTAGCGAATTCAAAAAAGGAAAAAAATACTTAATTGTAATGGATGCTTCTGATAGTTGTGCAAAGCTGACCAGTGGCAAAAGCTACCAACACTTTATAGTGTGCATTAATACGTTTGATTTATCTTAAGAAAAAAGCTCCAAAGGCTAAAAACCAGAACTGGCTTCCGAGAAGCTTCATATCACCCTCAGGAAGAACCACGGCTAGGAAAACAAGCTCAGTCATGAATCAGAATCATCGTGGAACGTCCATTTACCCATCCTTTGCTCTCTGCTCGCAGCAACCCACATTTCCAAAGGCTATCAGTGCAACCTCCATCAATCTCCATTTCACAGAGCATCCAGCCGTGCAAAACCATGAAGAGCAGGAGCTAGCAAGACTGTATTGCAAATCGGTAGCTTTTTAGAAATCATGGAGGCCAGTGTATCTGGTTGAGATAAATGGAGAAAAATGTACATCCTATACCCTTTTACCGCTTCTGACTCAACGGTGGAGGGAAAACAGGGGCAAGAGTTGCCATATTTAAAAGAGAATAGTATTTTTACTGGTAACAATAAGGAAAGCATTAACAGAAAATGAATCTGAAAGACATTTGAGGAAATATGTGATTACTCGTCTTGGCTAAACCAGAGACCTGTCTAAAGACCGGGAGTACAATCCTTCGTCATTAATTTCATTTTGCCACCAGACTCAATCATTTTTCAGCGGCAGACTGCCCAAGCCAACGGCACTCGTTACCATCCTGGGACAGCCCAACCGCACAGAAGGCAGTGAGCCAGTGGGAACTACTGAAGATGTTAAAAAACAAACTGAAACTGGGCATAGCGTTAAAGCCGGAGTTTCCCAGTGTGGTGACCAGGTCTGTTCCAGCACTACTTTATTACTTTTATTACTGGGGGGGGGGCTGTCCTGATCTACTTAAAAACCCTGGTTAAATTAATAGCTAGAAATGGCTACATTTGATGAACAGCTATTAACTAGAGAGGCTTAGACTTAGGCATTTCCTAGTCCTCAGGTGGTGGTTGCCAGTATTTGGGGGATAGGGGTAAAGCTGTAAATCTAAGTCAATTCCTATTTTATGAAAAAGAGCACATGCTACCTCGCCACATTCCTCCCACATACTGTGCATGCTTTCCCAGACCAGACCTCATTTATACCCAGTTGGAAATCTCACTTTTTTTTTCGCCTTTCAAAATGAGCCTGCAGACGAGACTGGAGGACGAGGCTGATGAACTGGAAGGGCAGGGCTGCTCCAAAGCTTACTACAGTTGCTCAGCCTGGTCAAGGACATGAGCTCAACAAACACCATGGCTGAGCGGAGCTCCTTGCTGCTCCGGGACAGCCTCCTCATGGTACCTTTCACAGAGACCACATGCAAGCATGCAGTTAAGTACATCACCCTGCTTGCCCATACACCGGACCTGCTGAGTTTTACAAATTTTAGTACGAAACTTGCATTTGTTCCCACTCCACGGTCCCATCCCTGCCTGTGAAAAAGATCTCTGTATTTGCCATAGGGCACCATGATCCATCCTCTCCCTCTCTGGGATCAGACCCAGAGGGCCCGCAGCTCGCATCTCACCCCGTCTATGTGACGTCTGCTGTACAGAGTTGCACTAGCAAGAAAGGCTGTAGCTGAATGACTCATCGCACCAGACGCAGGACGCCGTATGAGCTGACACAGGGGAGTTCAGCACCGAGGAGGGGCACTCGTGAACCTCTGCACCTACTGATGCTGGGTGTTCTTTGGTGCTATTGCTCTTCATTCACTAGCTCCTGCTAAAACCATTGTAAGGTAATCACAGTAGGACTGGCAACCTGTATTCAGGGAATCAAAATGCTTGACCTCAGGCGAGGCTGAATACCGAATTCATTGCACGTAGATTAAAAGCAAAAAAAAAATTAGAAAATACCTAAAAATTACTTGTAAGTGATTTAGTGAAGCTCTCAGTGATAGCAGATGTGTTCTTGCCGATAAAAAGCAAGCAAGCAATAAAGCTGAGTGATTTCATAGAGTCATTTGTTTGGAAAAGCCCTTTAAGCTCACCCAGCCCAACCATCCCCTAACCCTGCCATCCCACCACTAAACCCTGGCCCTAAGCACCTCCTCTGCCTGGCTTTTAAATCCCCCTGGGGGTGCGGACTCGACCCCTGCCCTGGGCAGCCCCTTCTAGTGCCTGACAGCCCTTGCGGGGAAGGAATTTTCCCCAATATCCAACCTAAACCTGCCGTGGCACAACTTGAGGCTGTTTCCCCTCATCCCATCACCCTTTCCTTGGGAGCAGAGCCCAACCACCCCTGGCTTCCCCCCTCCTGTCAGGCAGTTGTAGGGAGCAATGAGGGCTCCCCTCAGCCTCCTCTTCTCCAGGCTGAACACCCCCAGCTCCCCCAGATGCTCCCCAGCAGCCTTGGGCTCCAGACCCCTCCCCAGCTCCCATTGCCCTTCTCTGGACACGCAGCCCCTCCATGTCCTTCTGGGAGTGAGGGGCCCAATCTGAACCCAGCATTCGAGGGGCAGCCTCACCAATACCCAGGACAGGGGCATGGTCACTGGGCTGCTCCTGCTGGCCACACCAGTCCTGATACAAGCCAGGATGCTGTTGGCCCTCTTGGCCACCTGGGCACACTTTTCCTTCAATACAGATTGGAGACCTGTTGAGAAATTAGCAGGGAGTCAGGACATGAGAACACAACATACATTTTTTTAAAGGAAATCAACTGCTACACAAAGGTCATGTTTCAAAGGCTTCCATCCATTCTGGAAGGCTGCTGAAAAGGAAGTGAAATCTGCGTATTTTATTGTAAGGGTTATTCAAAATTGCCCTTGAAGAAGTGTTCAAACTGCAGCAATGCATGAGTTTGGCCAAAGAAAGCTCATAGCGTAGCAAGATGCAAGATGACCCAGTTTAGAAAGAGAAGCTGCTAAGCTGTACCTCCAGAACGGTGATGTGGCACCCAGTAACAGCTGAACAGAAACATCGACCACGCTCTTGCATTAATGCTGCCAGTTCACAAGCCACGCTGTTGACAGGTACTGGGCACAGCGTTCAGTCCGCAGGCAGCACTAAGCCACAGTTGTACTGCAGGGAGTAGGAGGGAGGTACAGAAACTCTGCCAGTGGTTCTGTTAGGGGCTGTGTTTGACCTAGTCCTCCTCAACGAAAAAAGAAGATGACCTAGCAGAATATATTTCAAATGTAAATTTGGAACTCAAACCATGTTTCAAGTCCAATTCCCACATTGTTAACTTGCTCCAACTGCTGCATTTTCAGTAGCAAGGCAGATTTTCATGAGTTTGATCAATGAAAGTGCTGTGCAAGGAAGCCACTAGACAGTTCTCTTCCTCCTTGCAGTGATGCTTCAGTGCCCTCGCAAAGCAGAGATGTTTCTGACCTGGCCAAGCTGCTGGTGTCTGGACACTTCCCTGACTCGCCTATGGAATCATGATTTTGTGTGCTTAAAGCCTCCGGAGCTTGAACAGGGCCTAAACAACATGAATTTGCACTGGGCTCTCCAGGTATAGTTTTGCACACAGAAATATCTCTCTAGAAATATTTCCAGAAACTTGGGAGGTGCTGCCCCTGAGCCTAATGTTGACCAGACTTCCTAAGAGCTCCAACAACCAGGAAACACAAGAGCACAAGTCTTCTGAAGGAACCCAAACATATATACATATATACACAGGCAAATAGATTTCTCTACATATTAAACACATCAACTCTGTGAAGAAACATGGAAAAAAAAAAAAAGGGGTCCTGGGCCACTCCCTGACATACAAAATGACAACAAAGAGTCATTAACACACAACCACCGATTGCTAGGCCCCACTCAAAAACACTCTTGACCAATCTTCCTGAAACATTTCAAACAAAAAAGCACATGGCAATCTAAATCGGGTCGAGCTGCACAGCGCTGTGCTTGCTATCGGTGTGTAGAAAGGCGCTGGTAACCCACTGGTGCTTTGGCTCCTGCTGAGCAGCACTCACGCAGCATCAAGGCTGTCTCCCCAACATTCCACCACCACCTGGTTGGTGGGCTGGGAGGGGACATAGCCAAGACACCTGACCCAAACCGACCAAAGGGATATTCCATACCCTATGACATTGGCTCAGAGATAAAAGCTAAGGGAAAAGGAAGAGGGGGGTGGGCATTCGTCTTTTATGATGTTTTGCCTTCCGGAGCAACTGCTATGTGTACTGAAGCCCTGCTTCCCAGGAAGGGGCTGGACATCGCCTGCTGATGGGAAGTAGAGAATAAAATCTTGTTTTCCTTTTGCTACTGCACGCAGCCTTTGCTTTTGCTTTTTATTAAACTGTCTTTACCTTGACCCATGAGTTTTCTTTCTTTGCCATCTCATTTTCTCCCCATCTGTCCTGCTGAAGAGGGGAACAATAAGAGGCGCTTGGTGGCACCTGGCATCCAGCCAAGGTCAACCCATCACACTATCATAGCATGCTGTACGTTGATCACCAAATGGAACACATATTTAGATAAATTCAGGGTCTCAGCTTGCCCTTTCATTTTCAACTTCCTTGAGACTGCAGTTCTTTGAGAACAGAGTTAAAAGTTCCTGGGTTAAGTATTAGAGGACAGACCAACATGGGTGGCTCACCACTGGGCATCCAACAACCACCACCTGACCAGAAAAGGAAGTAGCTGAAAATTTCTTTAGATAGATGAAAAAAGCCTCTTGGTAGCAGATGCTGGCAGACTTCACCTCAGCCATGCCAGCATCTGCTAGAAGGGCAGCAGGTTTGTGCACAAGCAACCCAGGAGATTTATGGAGACCAAAAAGGCCAATTTCTTGACACAGGTGGTCAATGAGCCAATGAAGGGAGATGCTCTGCTGGATCTGTTACTCAAAAAACCCAAACAAAACTGGTCAAAGATGGAAAGGTGAAGGCAGCCTTTCCTCCAGAGACTCTGAAGCGTAAGGTCCTTGACTGCCCATGCAGTAAAGCAGCCAAACTTTATCCAGAGCTGTACCAACAATAGTGGAGCCAGCAGGTCAAGAGAAGGGAACCTTCTCCCCAGTTTGACACTTTAAAGACACCTGCACCCAGTTTTGGCTCCCCAGTATAATGACAACATTGACATACCTGAGCGCATCCATTGGAGTACAGGCCACCAAGATGGTCATGGGACTGAAGCATAGGATGGACAAAGAGACTAAGACCTGGGTTTATTCAACCTGGAGAAGGCAAAGGGGGATTTATTGCTGCCTATGACTACCTAATGCAAGCATGTAGTGAACACTGAGCTAGAGCCATCTCAGAGGTGCAGAGGGGCACAATGAGAAGCCATGAGCACAGGCTGCAACACAGGAAATTCCAGTTAAATGTACAGAAAAACTCACCTGGGCCAGCTGGTCTCCAACCTGATCTAACTGGCCCTGGTATCAGGACAGGGATGAACCAGAGACCTCCAGGCGGGCCATCCTAACTAAATTATTCTGTGAATCCATGATCCAAGTCCAACAGCAGAATTACAGCCCTCTACTACAGGATAGCAGATGTTCAGCTGAGAAACGGGTTTAGAGAAGCCAAAGCCCAGCTAGAGGAAACTAATGAAGAACACCCAGTCCTTGTTTTTCTATTGCATTTGTTCTACTAAAAATGACGTTTTCTCCCATCATTCTCCCATCCCTGTCACATGCAGCTATGCATGACACAATGTGACCATCACCTACATTTAGGTGTATATCGCAACCGTGTGTGTCTGCAGAGCTCAGCGTATATAATATGAAGGATAATCCCCTTTGGGATTTGTGGGACCCAAATTCAATTAAAAGTGGTGCTTTTTAGAGGCCAATGGAAAACAAAGCAATGAAGAGTTGCACACCAAGCAATGCCTTGTTTCCTCATCCCACTTTTTTCCTCCTCCAGCAGCTCATACTCCACACCATCTGTTTTAATTGCTCACTGACATCACACCTGGTGCTTGGACATGAATCTCAGGGTACTTCAAGCATCTTTTAACATCCCACCAAACCTTTAGTCTTCTCACATCCAGCAACTGAGGTAGCCTGCTATATAATGTTGACTGAAGAGGACAGTGGCATGAGAGGACTTCCATGACACATATGGAGATAAATCTGTGTGGGCGGAGGGGAAGAGTTGTTTTTCCTGTAATATTCAGCCTTTCAGATGTTTAAATAACCAGAGGAGCAGCTTTTCCCAGCTCAGTACATGATGCAGGCTGGCCAAAGCACTGGCTTTTGCCCTCAGGAAACCCCATGTGGATACAGTAAATATTTTCAGTAGCTTAAGGATCACATGAAAGTAAACAAATCCATGGCAAAACCCAAAGCACCTTACTGTACAAAAGTCAGGCCACAGTCAGATCTTTAATAAAAGCTCTTTGAGTCAGTGACAAACAAGATACAGCAGACATGACAACTCAGAAAAATCAAGTTGGGGTACAAGTGTGCTGCTGGTGTTTCAGAGCATCAAACAAGGTCCCTAAGCCTAACTATCCCCTCAGCGGCTTCACAGCTGTTCATGACACACTAGAAGGCTGCTAAAAAAAGTCCCTCTTGCCTCATCCCATCCTTATGTTGGTGTGAAGGAAGTATAGAAGGGTCTTCTGACCGACACTGATGGAGTAAATTAACCCAGAAAAAAATTCCAGCTCTAGTCTCCAAGTAGGAGATTAAGTTGATTTTATAGGAAGGAGACCAAGCACCTATACTCCCCCAGTTTCACAACAAGCACTTCAGCTAGGGCACCTCTGTGGAGAGAAGCCTGAACTGCCAGCCTCCTAATAGGATTCATCTAATTTGAGCAGGGCATGGGAGAAAGCATCTCCCTGTAGAAACCATTCCCCATCTTATCAGGTAGTCTGTTCAAACAGGCTCATCAGCCACGTGTTTGACAAGACTATGCATTTTTCTTTTACAATCTTCCATCCTGCTCCCTTTATTGGGACATTAGGAGCCAATAAAAGGTGCACAGGATCCTTTTCACCATGACACTAGCTAAGTAACCAATTCTAAACCCAAGAGTCAGAGTAATCCTCTCTCACTAATAAATAAGTTCCTGAAGCTCCCTTGATAAGGGGAGGGGTTCTGCAGCACTGAGAGGAGTATGGCAAAGAGCTTGTTCTCAGAAGCCCAGCACACACACAAGAGCTTTGGAGGGCTGCATCCCTGCACTTTGGTCGTTGGATAGTGCCACCTGCTCAGTATCTGTAGTGGTCTGGCTTGAACGGCCCATCTCTTGATAAGCCTAGGTATTTGGCCTGCTTGTCACTCAGCTTCGTCAGCTTCACACATAGTTTATCCAGATGAGCAGCTGCCACAGCTTCATCCAGCTGGAAGACAAAACATAGAGACAAGAACATTAGCAGAACGGAGTCCTATTAGTTCAGGAAATCATGGTCAACAGCGAGAAATGAGTATGTGAAAATCAACAGCAGCCCCAATGAGGACTGACCAGACCAACACAGATGAGCAGTAAAGGCAGCTCTTTTCCGACCAACATTCCTGTCCTGGTTTTGGCTGGGATAGCGTTAATTTTCTTCATAGTAGCTAGCATAGTGCTGTGTTTTGGATTTAGTACCAGAATAATGTTGATAACACACTGATGTTTTCAGCTGTAGTGCTCAGACTACTCAAGGACTTTTTTGAGCGTCTCCTGCTTGGCCAGGTGCATAACAAGCTGGGAATACAGCACAGCTAGGACAACTAACCTGAACTGTCCAAAGGGCTATTCCATACCATATAACATCATGCTCGGGGGGGTTAGTCGGTCGGTTGCGGGGAGACTGCTCGCTGCCCAGGGACTGATTGCGGCTCGGGACGGGCTAGGCATCGGTTGGCAGGTGGTGAGCAATTGCACTGTGCATCATTCGTTTTGTATGTTCTGTTATCATTCTCATTATTACTATTATTATTATTTTCTCTTATTAAACTGTCTTTATCTCAGCCCTCAGCTCTAACCTTTTATTTTCTTCCCGATTCTCTCCCCCATCCCACTGAGGAGGAGGGGGAAAGGGTGGGGGAGTGAGCGAGCAGCTGCATGGTGCTTAGTTGCCAGCTGGGTTAAACCACAACAATTCCTCACCTGCTTGAGCACAGAGGCATCTGCTTTGAGCACAGAACTGTGCTCAGATGGAAAAGCCCCATGCTTTTGAGGGAGTCAAGTTTGAGACAGACAGCTAAAGCCCATTTCAATCTCACTTACACAAACATCCATCCAACAAGTAAGGAACAGAGATCAAACTGTTCAGAGATGAGAATTTCCAGTTTGGTAGAATGGTAGAGCCCCAGTCATGTTTCCACTATGAAGACACCTGGACATATTAGACCATCATCTTACAGTTTTAGGTAAGTTCTAATACTGGGAAAAAATGCATCTCCTTTCCAGATATCCCATCTTAGGCATACATGTATTAAGAAATTCATTCCAGAATCACTAATTCAGCAAGAATACAAGTATCTATTGGCATTGTCATCATGAAGAATAAAGGCAAGATGGGCTGTAGCACGTAGGCTCAGAAATGGTGATCTACTTTCTTTATCCCAGAGGTGTCAGGCAGACAAGCAAACTGAAGGAATTAAAAAATGTGTAAAGCTACAGGAGAGTTAAGTGCTATAGGAGATAGGTACAGAAGAGTCAGAAAACAAACAGTAAAATGGCAAACCAGCTGCTATGTCAGAGGGGAACATCCAGCCATAGAGGATATTCAGAGATAGAAAGGATGGCACTAAGAAGGGCTCAGGTGCTGCCAAGTTACAACAGAAGGACAAGGCTGACCACCATGTGTAATTCCTGCAAAATACAAGTGATTGCTGCCAAGGAAACAGATAAAAGCGAGGTCTAAATTCCAGCAGCACAGTAAAGGCTGGCAATGTTTCCCCCACAGCACTTACATATATGTGAAAGGCTGCAATATATTTGAAGTGCAATAAATCAATAGAAAACCAAGGGCCACATCTTCAGCTTGTGTGAGCCCAGCATGTCCTAAAGGATTCAATAACTAGTCCTAGACTACTCAAGGGAGTGTGGTAACAAGCAACTACTCTGCAGTAATCCCATAGTAATGAACTAGGTAAAAAGCTACATCTGTATGGAGCACAATTCACTACAGCTCAACCTGCTCACAGCAGAACTGCCGACATCTCTTGAGAACGTGGACCTGCAAACATCTTTTGACAACGAACAACAGCCAAGGATGTACAAGACAAAGTTAAAAGGATAAGATGAAGTGGTTGAAGAATGTGGAAGTGAACCATGAAAGCTACCGAATGCTACATAAGAGTCAGGAAAATCACAAAAGAAGGAAAAGCTAACTGGAAGGGCTCTGTTTAGAAGGGAAACAAGTATTTAAGCTTTGTAGATCCTGTCAGGGAGAAAAAGGAGGGTTAAAAATGGAATGCCTATCTGGTTGACTAGACTGACATGTGAAGATCTGATAGGTTCATTTCCAGATTACAGCCACCTGAAAGGGAGCTGAGTCCCTGACATGTCCCAGATCAGGTCCTCAAACTGCAGCAGAGAAGTTGTTTCACAGCTGCTTTGCCTTGGGGACTTCAAGATTTAGGTAAAAAGGGACACAAATATAGATGAAGGTAAGCTGACATTCTTACCTTAAAATCAGCTAGCTGAGCATAAGGATGGACAAATTTGGTGCCAAGAACATGGACACAACCGTTTGCCTAGATTCCCAGGAACATGCATTGCAGAAATGTGTGCTTGTTTGTAACAGCTGATCATCAAAGCAATATTCTTGCAATCAAAGAAAGGGTAATGTAAGGTACTTGGCAATTCTTAAATTTTACAGTTGGACCTCAAATCTACTGCACAGAACAAGGAAAGATACAGCCAGAAAGTTATCAGCAAAAGCTCCTCTGCCCATCTTCTGTTTGTTCCAACAGGTGCCTGCTTTATTCTTTGAAATTCTCTACGCAGCACAGAGGGTAAAGAGAGCATTTTGTCACAGTATATGAGCCTGAAAAGATCACTACCACATGTTCCGCTAACATGCAACTCCGTCTGTAACTCACTCATCTGGGCATTACTTCTCATTTCCAGTTCAAGTATGCTTACCAAAAATTGTTATTCAGGAAGAGGATGAAGCCACATTTTATTAGCAACATTGGTCTATCATTTTCAATATAACTGGGGACAAAACTTTTCCTTTGAAGATGATTACATGTAAACTTGCTCTTCAACTCCTACATCATATTTCTGGTATGCTTTGCTTGATCATAAATGGATGGGTTTGGAAGCTTAAGTCCTTCAGCAAACACTTCATAAGTAAGCCTGAACATACACATTCTACTGCCCAAATGAAAAGTATTTTCACATTCAGTCTCACATCTGGCTGCATTCCAAAGGCAGTGGGATTTAACTCCAGCATCTTTTTCATGACCATCTCAAATTCTCAGTCTTGTTTTGGAAAATTAAAACTGGGTTAGTTTTTTAAAACTGGGTTAGTTTTATAAAAGGAATTTGCGAGTTGTGACATGATCCAGATTTTTCCAAGAACAACGAATGCAGAGATAAGTTTAAAGGGAAACCTGAAGGAATCTGTCATTAATATTTTGTGAAGTTATTAGGACCAGATTGTGGTAAGCTCTGCTCAGGTGCAAATGAGACCCAGACTCTATCAACCACAGTAAAAGCAATTCCTAGTTTCACTCCAGCTTCAACTCTGTCCTACTAGACTTTGCTGCTGGATAGGCATGTGAAAGCTTGCAGTGAATGTTAACATTCCGCAGAAGAACAAGCTGGTTGGGAGAAGCTCCCTGACTACCCCGAGGCAGCACAGGGCTTCCCAGCACCTTAGGGAAGAGCCCCAAGTCAAGCCAAAAAGCAATTGGACATTCCTGTTGCATGTGACAGACAAGTCCCAGTTGCAGAACAGGTTAGCCACAAAAAACAGCCCACTTCAGGCTCAGCATGACAAAAGCCAAGCAGTCACTGAGGGACAGAAGCTCCTTGCAGCAACAACATTCAGTAGGAAGATGAACTTGAGCACAAATGAAACAAGTCTACATGATCACATCTGAAGTCAGCTTCCTTAGAAGCCTGCATCTTCCTGCTATTCTAACTCACCTTCTTTGGCAGGAAATGGACTCCAACAGAGTATTTGTCACTATTGGTCCACAGCTCAATCTGCGCCAGCACCTGGTTGGTGAAGGAGTTGCTCATGACGAAGCTTGGGTGACCCATGGCACAGCCCAAGTTGACCAGTCGGCCCTCCGCTAGCAGTATAATATGACGGCCATTCCTCAGTGTATAGCGATCCACCTGGGTAGAAAAAAAAGCAACGGCAGTGTGATGTCAGGATATAGAGAGCTTTTTAAATCATGACAAGCTTGGTGGGCCTTCCTCCCACATCAGCAATGGGCTTGCAACACAGACTTTGATTGCAATTGAGACATCCCTCCATAAATTCCCAGCCAACGTTTGCGAAGCCTGTAGCTATTCTGGACTTCACACAACATGAACCTTAGCATCTGCTTCATATTTAACTGGTTATCCGGTTCTTCTGGTTTTCCCACATGCAGGTTGTCTCAGATGGCTGTTGTGGGGGAGCACGCTGCTCGCAGTAACATGCAGTTCATCCATACCTAATTGTAACAACCGGTGTGGAGAGACAGGAGAGAAGAGGGCACACCTCTGCATGCTACAGTCCAGAGCCTTTCCACCTACCACAGGGCTAGGAGCCAGAGCCCTCAGCCTGCTGAAACTGCTCCCCTGTAGTTCTTCCCACTTCAATAAGGTGCTTAACAGTGTAATAAACAGCTTTCATAGCTTCTGGTGTGCCCCCCTCCTCCGGGGGGCAAAGATGTGGTCCTCTGCACAGACTGATTTCCAAGCTATGTTGGGGATGACAGGACTCTCTGCACACAGAATCAAGTCGCAGGTGAGCAAAGGAGACAGGTCTGCAGCTCTGTGAGAGAGTCCCATGCAATTCGGAAGATAACATCACTTAATATAGGCCTCAGCTGCCTGGGACAGACTGGGCTCCTGCAACATTAAAGCTAACTCTGCTTCTCCTTTCCACCATCCCCAAACTGTTCTCCCCCCACCTTTGCCCCTGTAAGAGGTTACAGTGAACGCCAATATGGCCTCTAAGCTACAAGAATATTCAGTAATCGCTGGTATTTATTGCTTATGTCACACAAGCATGGAGCAAACCTTTGGAAAGACTTAAAAAATACTCAACAACCAACTTTGACATAGGTTAATGCTTTGGGCAAGTCCATTTATCTTATGCTGCCATAGCACAGCAACTGTGAAAGACCCAAAAGGGTCCCTCGCCACAGCTGTATTTATACTTTTAGTCTCCAAAGTTATTTAATATGAAGCAAACCACACGTCACTTTTGGTTTTATTCTTAAAGCTTTGGCCTGAAAGTTAAAAGCCACGCGGGATGAAGCTTTAATTGTAACAACACCATCTTCTGAAAAACCATCGTTGTGCAGGTCCTTAGCAGAGATGTAATAACTAAACCAACAGAAACCATTTTCTTATAACAGGTATTTTGCCTTCCCAGCAGGTCTGTGCCTCCACCCATCTTCCCCAGCCACACTTCAACTGCAGCACTATTTTCTGCTCCTGGGACTCTCATAACAGATGATTATGTTTTCAGCACAATATGCAGATGGCAACCACTTCAAACAAGCTTGAAGTAACATTCTTAATTGCTCCTGTCCAAGAGCAGTACAGCAAGGCAGGGTTAGTAAAAAGCTCTCCACAGCTGCAGTTGCAATGTTTCTTACAGATGCTGATTCTCTCTTGTGGACCACCAGTGACAGTGCTCAGTCCACCCAAAAGATACCATATGGGCTATCATAAGGTTATGGAAGAAGTAACAAAACAAAGAAGGAAGCAGCCAGAAAGCAGAACACTAAAAATCCTGAGAACAGCTACAATATTACTTCTATTAAACATTATATTTACAGATTAAACTACTACAAGGTAGCAGTTAAGTAGCATTTCAGCTTTGAAGTCTGAATGGGGTGGTTTAGGTGCCAATATTATATCCATATAATCTCCACACAACTTGTACCTGGACTGCTGCTGGCTTGTGCATGGAATCACGTACCTTCAGCAATCTGCCGGCATGCCTCATTCAATGCACAGGATAACACAGAAAATGCAAATTAATGTCTTTGCACAGAAACAAATACAAAACAGCAGGGGTACCGGCAGAGGCTTAAGTCAGTACTGTGGAAACACATCTCATCTACGGGCAGATAAACAGGCTGACTCCTAAGCTCAGGAAATTGCTACAGAAGTAGAATTCAAGTTATCCAAGCATGAAGTTCATCTCCACACTTACACAAACACCCCCTCCCTTTCCCCATCAGCATTTAGCTTGCTCTGGACTTTCTGGATGTTTTGCACTTCCCTCCACACCTTACATGAATAATTTATTTTCAGAGCCAAAGTTCATTGATCCCACCCTGACCTTTCCTTCCCCTCTAGAGCTGAGCCTGTGCTACACATCAGTCTCTAATATCAGGACACGGCTAAGCAGGACTGCAGTGCAAACCCATATTCAAAACACCCTACCAGCTTTTCAGTAATAAGCCTGTTTCCTCTTGAACTGTACTTTGAAAGCAACAGAGGAATCAGAATGGCACAATAAGATGTTTTCCTATCCCAAGCATGAAACATTTCTTACACCAGCTCACCACTTGTCAATGGAACCCATGTGGTACTGGAAGGTACTGCATTGGACATTCACAATTACCCTGTACCTCTAGGTGAAGTCTAGCAACCCTCAGCTCTGGTACTAATTAATCCTCCAATCAAGACACAGATGTCTTCACAGTAGGTCAGAGATTTTTGCTCTTGTACTATATTCCCCTCCTCCTACAGGATATAGAAGAAAGCTGCCAAGTCTTAGAAAAAAATTGAGTATTTAGAGAGTTAATACCTGGTATTATAAAACCCAGGATACCTCACCCAGACCACTGGTGTGAAAAAACATCTTACTCTAAGGATAAGTGCAAGATCTCACGCCTCACACAGGACTGACCTCCCCTTGAGGCCCCCAAAAGACTGGGGCCAAGACAACCGCAGAAGCGTCCCTTTGATGAGTCTCAGCAAAACTGAGAAGACAGCAGCAACTTAAGTGGTAAACTGATAATCTCCTCCCCAGATTTCAGTGTAAGACAGTTCTATCAGTTATTGTAGTGACTCGTCACTGCTGCCTGAGCAGGGTCCCACACATGCAGACAAATTCCCATGCAGGTGGTGGGGGACAGAAGCTGCAGGATACCTGCTGGGAGCTTGTTTCTAAACCTAAAGTTAATGCATGTCCTGGAAGTTAAGCAATTGTAGCAAATTTCTACTCAATGTCTTTTAATTTGTTTCAAGCATGGAATTTGGGGCTCTAACACCACATTTTGCCTCCCAGTCCTGCCTCTCCCCCTTTTGAAACAAGTAAGCTTTTAGGACATGCTAGTCCACTCCTGCTCAATTGCCCAGCCACAACAGCAATCAGGCACAGAGAATGAAAGGGAAGAATAATGAAGCTTTCACACAGCAGGACTTGTTCACATAACATCTGCTCAGCAGCTACCTCCTTACCTCATCATGCAGGTCTGATGCCTTTAGGGACAAAAAAAAAAAATCTAAGCAGACACAAAATGGAGCATAGGGGTACAGCACATAGCATTAAATACACCGATAACGGAGTCCAACTGGAGATTCAAGCTAGTTAAGTGCTTCAGATTCACTGCTGGAAGTCAACAGAACCCAAGTATTAACCCGAGTCAGGGACCAGTTTTTATTGGACTTAGCAACATACACATCTACAGGCCATCCTCACTGCAGTGAAGCTTGAAACATGTGGAACAGCCACATGATACCAGATTTACCTCTAGGTATATCCCATCTCCAGTGGTAACCAGTAGATGGGTAAGGAAAAATACAAGAACAGCCTAAGGGTGAAGTGCTATTTCCCCCAGTAAATCCTCATCAAGGTGAGACAGAGGTGGTCCCCTCAGGGCTGTCACACACCTTTTACAAACTTCAGCTAACGACTTTTAAGCAAACACCTGTGGCACCCACAGCACACTGGGCAGCTATTCTCACAGCTTTTGCTCTGTGAGCAGGTATCTCCTTTGCATCGCTCTGAACATCCTGCTTGTGACAGGACTACAAAGATGATTTGGGGACTGGAGCATCTCTCCTACGAGGAAAGGCTAAGGGAGCTGGGCTTGTTTAGCCTGGAGAAGAGAAGCCTGAGAGAGGGTCTCATCAACACGTACAAATATCTTAAGGGTGGGTGTCATGAGGATGGAGCCAGACTCTTCTCAGTGGTGCCCAGCACCAGGACAAGGGCCAATGGGCACAAACTGAAGCAGAAGAGGTTTCAGTTGAATGTGAGAAAGAACTTCTGTACTTTGAGGGTGACCGAGCCCTGGAACAGGCTGCCCAGGGGGGCTGTGGAGTCTCCTTCTCTGGAGATATTCGAAGCCCGCCTGGACGATGTCCTGTGCCCCCTGCTCTGGGTGAGCCTGCTTGAGCAGGGGGGTGGGACTGGGTGATCTCCGGAGGTCCCTTCCAAACCCTGCCATTCTGAGATTCTCTGTGATTCTGTGACAGCAGCAGTTTGTGTAACAGGCCAGATGTTCAGGGTAGGAGGTAGGTCTTCAGCATTAAACCATATGGATGACCTTGACCCCAATTCCATCCTTTTGAAAAGGTAATATTCTGGTTTTGACAAGAAACTTGTTACAGTTTTCATACCTTGGACTAGACTGAATATCACTGCACCCAATACACCTGTGACAGGCTAGCTCCTTCAGTACAGAGTATATAAAGGAAAAGGGGCTACCACCTCTGCCAACAGTGACAGCTTTTCATGTGGACTTCAAGAGCCACTTCAACGATGCTTGCTTTTTGAGAAGTCACATTTTTAGTTTTAAAACCTGAGCTATCAGAAAGCGAGCAGCTAGCTGCAGGCTCCTCTAGGACAAGAGCTGTTGAGCAAAGTCAGCTCCACACTAAGGTCATGGGGCAAGAACAGACTTGCGTGTAATGAGAACTTGAGGGTATAACTTCATACCTAATTGAGCCCATGTAGTGCCTCAACAGCAAAGAGGATACTGAAGACTCTCACAACTGCTTAGTAGGAGCTTGATGGGGTGGCCCATAAGCCACAGGGGAGTTATTAGAAGGGCAGATTGAGATCTGGCAAGACATATGCTTGGGTGTGGCGTTTTTAAAAAAAGTAGAAAACCTGTCCCAGAATCCTGCTATCGGCAAGCACAGTCCCTCTTTAAAAGGTAATGAAGTCCTATGCCAAGCCAGACAAAGCCTGGTTTGCTTTTCATGATGTTCTTCCTCAGTGCTGGTGTTACAAAACACTTTTGATTTAGTTCAGTTTATCTGCTTTAGGAAACACAACTGAAAAGCTGAAATGTTTAGATCGCTATTTTCCTGTGTAGCTACAGCCATAGCTTGAAGTAAATACATGGTGGGAATGCAAGATGAGCAAGGATAAAACATCTTGCCTTGTCTGCCCACACATAGACTTCTGGTCTACAAAGGTTTCTAAAATGCAGTCAGCAAGTCTGGAACAGAAGTCTTGAGTTTGGCAGAGCTCCAGATGGGCTTTCCTGAGGCTTTAATCGCCAAATAAAAAAAAGCTTTGAAAAACAGAAAGGTGTGAATTTTTTCAAACCTTAACAGAATCCCAGAAGAAATTCCCTTAAGATTCACTCTAATCCTGGCACCCTGCGCCAGGACCAAGACAGTTCTGGTGCAGAGCAGTGCATGAGCAAGCAGCTCCCTGAGAGGAAATTGGTATCAGCCACCAAGCCATCTATAGGCTCTGCTCTTCACAAGTTTTATACGGCCTCTAAAGGTCTGTTCTGTGTTCATCATCTAACTTGCTTTTTGAAACTGGAGTTCAGGCATTGTTTACAGCTGGGGGCTATCAAAGAAAGCACATTTCCATACCTGCTCACCATACCCCAAATGTCAAAGCCAACTTCCTGTATGGAATGAATGCGATGCAATTAACTGTCTGCACAACAACCATGAAGGGGCAGGCTCCTGTTTTTAATGAAGTAGGAACACATGGAGAAAGACACACCCATACCAAGTGCCTCTCGCCAGAGACCATGCTGTACACTTGGCCACTGGCTGGAACCAATTGCTTTAATACCAAGACAAGAACATGATGTGCAGCTTGTTCCAGGTTAATTGGGGAAGAGCAGAATCTCCGTTCTGATCAGCCCAGAGCAACACTGGCTTCCAAGAAAGCCAGAAACACAAGTCACCTGAAGGGAAATACACGACACTCCCCCCACCACCACCCTTTCTGGAAACAGTCACTGAGTAGCTACTGCTTCTTTCCAGCAGGAGAGCTTGTGCAAGGGCTGTCTCACCTGAGGTTTAACATTCACCGCCTCTACTGCATTTTCATTCAGCCACTTCGCATCAACTTCCACATCAAAATGGCCAATATTACACACTATGGCATCATCCTTCATCTGCTCAAAGTGCCTGAAAAAAAAGTTATATCAAAAATTAATGCACAAAAAAATTTTCTTCTTCAGCACCCGAAGATGTTCTACTCCATAGCTCTGCTCAAGGAGACATGAGCAGTGCCTGGCTCATTGACTGCATTTGAGTCTCACAAGATGTGTGGGTCTGGTAATCTTGCAGGCATGGGAAGTCTACTGGAAAACACTCTCAAGCTTCTAGGGAAGGACACTTCCCAAGGATACAAGAGGTTAGTGGAGAGAAAATATTTTTCTGGTATGGGAAGTAAAACTATTTTGTTTCATTGGTCAAAACTAAAATACCTGCAGTTATTCTCATTCCTACACAGAAGAGTTTTCTTCATGACTTTAAAGTTTTAGCGGTTTTACATCTCTAGAGACTAATGGCCTTATCTCCTCCCACTTAATCTGATCTTCACTACAACATGTGCAATCATAACAGTAAAGATAGGAATGAGTTTGTGTAGAGTGGAGGGGCTACAAATGGAGATCTAAGAAGTGATAACAAAAAACTTGCATGGTAGTTTATTGAGAAAAGGCTAGTTTCAAGTCTGCTACGTGTACTCACAAATGGAATCACTTTCAGCCTTTTCAACCTTTACTTACCTCTTCTGTTCACATTTATCTGTCTTAACACAGAATTAAGCCCTGATACTCTGTTCTCTAAAAGTCTAACTAGCCCTCTACAACTCGTTTCTCCATCATTATGTGCTGTAAGACAGGAACAACTGCAATGTGGCAACATCTAACAGAACTGAAAGACTAAAGCCCCGATGTCTTACTAAATTGATGCTAAATTCTGATGCCCAGAAATGAGACTGTGTTCCAACCCTCACCATACTGCTGACAAGTTATGATTCTATTAAAAAAAAAAAAAAAAAAAAAAAAAAAAAAAATCTAACTGTACAGGTATGCTTTCACTACAGCAAATGGCTAGACCATACCTGCCCTGAACAATGTCAGTGCAGCCAGTGGTGGTAACAAAGATATTGCCTTCTTTGCAAGCTTCCTCCATTGTTGTAACTTCATAACCTGAAAAGAGAAAAAGTTATTCCTCTACCCAACCACTAGCACTTAAAAAATGGGCTACAATATTACAAGTGGAAAAGTACGGAGAAAGAATGAGTAAGAGATGCCTGTGCCAATACCTCACCTATGGAGGATGCAAAGTAGAGGGCATACTTGTCTTACTAAATAGCAATGTAGCACAAACATCTATCCCTCACCTGTTTCCAATCTCTAGATCTATACATTCCATGTCTTGTACTATCTGGCACAGCACTTAGACTGGACTCAGGGGGTCAAGTTTGTATAGGAAAGTACACCCACAACACCAGCAAGATCTAGCCAGGTACGAATAGAAATGGGATAAACTGGTACTAAGAAGCATAGTTACATGAGGCACCCACAGAAGAGAAGCAGCACAGCTTCCAGAACCACGAGCACCATTGGAAAGGCAGAGAGCATGGCATTGCTCTCCAAAAACATCTGCTGAAGGTAAGGCCTGGTGTTTTACAGTGGAGATATTCTAGTGAAGTCTTAACCCATGCTGGAGGCTAGAGTTGCACAACTTGAAGATAAGGAATCCATTCAAAACCAGACTTACAGTGTTACGAAATGGGGGCCATACCCCACTATGGTCTCTATAGCCTTGACTCCAAACACATCTTCAAGGCCTATACTAATACTGTCCTTCCCTAAGTGTAAGGAATGAATTCCTACAGATAAACTGGAGTCAACTCTAACTCAACAGGGACAGGGCTGAAATCCACTGAAACTGTCCTGGCCAACTATCATTTATTTCTCTATGCTGACATGCAGAGACCCCCATCAGATGCATTAATTCCTGCATCTCCTTCAGTTCTCACCTTCCATGGCTGCCTGCAGTGCGTTGATGGGATCAATTTCCGTGATTATTACTCTGGCTCCAAAGCTCCGCAGGGCCTGGGCGCAGCCTTTGCCCACATCACCATAACCTGCCACGACTGCTACTTTTCCAGCAATCATGACATCTGTAGCACGTTTGATGCCGTCGATGAGGGACTCTCTGCAACCATAAAGGTTATCAAACTTGCTCTGAGGAAGAAAAAGGCGAGAACAGATGAAAGTCACTCAAGTAAAAATGCCTTAGAGGAACAAAATGGACTCATATGCAAGTACTACAAACCAGGAGGCTAACAGGCAGCTAAATACTTAAACCACAGAGAGGGATGGGAAGAAGATAACCTCGTCTGATGTTTTTCTTTATCCAGTTTCAATTTATATGGTTACACCAGATACAGACCAGCACACCCCTGGAGAGAAGCATTTCATAAGTACATTGTATCTACTGACTAACACTTGGACATGTTAAAAGCTTCTTAGAGGTAACCTGTATTTATCACGTAAAAGCACAAACAATTTTTGCATACAGAGGTAGATTTGAGTTCCTTAACCAGATGTTCATCAGTTCTCTGCTGCTGTTTATCAGACAATAAACTGAACCAAGTGCCACAGATGGGCAAAACACACCAGCAGAAAATCTGGCCAACTGGCTAGCACACATTGTTATCTTTGCGAGACACACACACCCTGCAGAAGCAGCAAGCTGCCTGCATCAACCATGAGAAATTGGTTCCCACAGCCCAGGAAGATCAAAATTGCATCTTCTCCCAGGAGCAGTTACACTAACACTGCCAGACCTCACCACTGCTCAGATCTAGAAAAATCCAGCAAGCAGCCCTTCACAATACTGGTCACTGCAACCAAGAACCCCTGGATTTCATCTCCTAATGCCCCATCACACATCTTCCTACTGTAACATTAACACATGAGCCTAACAGCCAGACCTCCAAATCAAAATTCCCCTGCTAAGTGAGATGTCAAATAGTATTCCACCTGACCATCCTCATAAACTCAGGAACATGTATTGCTGTACTGATTTTTGTAATGCTTCTCCTTATTTTCCTAACACCCTTTGTTTTGACCAGGAGGATGGGCTGTATAAACAGATTTGATTATCTGAAGAATTACAGAAGCCACAAATTTAGAAAAATCTGGCTACCAAAGCTGTCCTATGCTTCCCAAGGCAGGTTTATAAAGAACTCACCATCTACAGCCTGCCCCGCGCTTTCTACAGCCTGAGGTCGCCAATCGTTCTTGCTGTCACACAACACAGGTAGCATTCTGTCTGCTGTAAGCAATCCTACTAGGTGTGCAGTTGATGTGAGTAGGGGAACTGATCTTTCAAATGGGACCTGCCTTGCAGCTACGGCTGGTGTCACCTAGCACATGTAAGATGTTACACATTGGTTTACAGTCTACAGTTTACAACTGTAAAATTTTTATGATAAAAAATGCAAAGTCCACGTATAAAAAATGTTGCAGCTATGACTGCAATGCATTATCTTAGCAAGTCACGAGGTATAGTAGCATATCACCCCCCAGGATCAGAAGCTGGCCAAAGACTAATGTGTAAGAAGTTATAGTTCAGATGCAGAAGTCTTATCACAGGCACATTTGCCATTAGTATTTCAGAAAATTCATGTTACCGATCCTTCAAATTCCAAAGCTAGTGCCAGTCAGTAATCCTCTTTTCTAGTCCTCCAGCAGGTTTTCCTTGCCATGTAAGCCTTCTTAGAGAGGAAAACAGCATGGTCAGATCTGATTCCTCATCACCAAGTCTCCCAACTGCAACCAAAGCCTTCCGGGTGCCTGTGAATTCCACGTGGGCAAGGTAGTAGAGTGCCAGATGCAGACACCTATCCCACCCAAACCCACATATGAGCAGCAAGAGGGAAGAACAGAACTGGATGCTGCCTGCCTTCTCTCTCCAAATACTGCCTTCTGTCTCCAAACACTAGTATAGGATCCTGGCACCAGGTGAAAGTATCAAACTGGGAGAGCAGAATTTGTCAGCTCAGTTGCATGTCGTCCTGAAGACCTGTAACTGGTTTGCACAATCTCTTACTACATAAATACCAAACAGCACTTGAAAACAGGCACTTGTTTGGCACTAGAATAAAGCAAGCTCAACCCAAATCCACTCCAGAGGCTTTTTTAGAAACATCTGAATTTCTAAATCTACTAAACAGTATTAATAGTTGTTATGCAGGAGGCACACATCTAGGTGAAAACGATGCAGAGAAAAGAAGTTCCTTCCAAGATCAGCTGGATTCCAACCCACTAGCTATGAAATAAAAATGCCAGATGCATCTTTGTGAGCAGAAAGGAGATACTCTTCAGATACCAAACTGCAGAGAAAGCAGATCAGCCAAACAGTGAGAACTGCCATGCCCAACAGGATAATGTTAGTATGGTAGCTTGAAATAGATTTAGCAACTAGATTTAAAAAACATCTAGATGCATAAACCTTAAGTACACCTGAAATTCCCACTGTAATTTACCTGCATCCAAAAAGCACCAGCACCCTTTAAACACCATTCCCCCTCACCCCTCAATTCACCAGGATTTGTCTCAGGAAGCAGCAATATAGCTAAATAAGGAATAAAAACCTCCTGCCCTATGCTTTGCAACTGCTGCTCACAGAGATAGCTTATCACATCAACTGACCTTTACCAGCCACAAACTCACATAGGTCACTTTTCCAGCCAGTACCTGCCACCTACCCGTGGGCTTTAAGCTACTCAGTTAGGATGTGCCCCTTGCCACAGGAGCTGACTTGCACCCCAGGAGCCAGGATTTCCAAAGGTGTTTTCACATTATTAAAATGCAGAAGAATGCATGTCCTTACATACAAAAATAAAAGCCCTTGATGTTCTGAAAACAGGCTATTTACAATGGCATGTCCCTTTAGAGACATCATGGGCTCACTTCAAGGATATAGTGAGAAATCTGTTCAGTGCCAGGTCAGGAATAGCTGAGCAAGAGAAGGAATACTTGCATAGGAATGACAACAAACGCCAAAGGTGACACCAACACTACCAAACTGGTGAGACAACAGAACACAGCAGAAGGGCTCTAGCTGCATTACCTTGGTGACAGAGTCGTTAACATTGATAGCTGGCACTTTCAGGGTTCCATTGGCCTTCATTTTATACAGGTTGTGAACTCCAGTGGTTGTCTCTTCTGAAATACCTCTAATTCCTGCATGGAGAGTAAAAGGATTCACCTTAGCTGGTGTTAACACTGCTGCAAAGCAACACATCCAGGCGCTGGGAGCACCCTCCAGAGACCCAAGTTAAACAAACCCTTTGCAGGAAGCAGGGAAGAGATGAGGGCCCTCATTTGGATCCTCAAACAGTAGTGTGAAACTTCAAACCAGCTTCTTCCCCCACAAGACAATTAAAAGAGCAGGACAAAAATATTCTTTGGAAAAATGGAAGGGACCAGCTCTAGACCAGGGAATCAGGGAAGACCCCACACTAATCTATTTTCTCACAAAATGGATCAAAAAACTCTTCTGCAAAAAGAGCAAGATGTTCACCTCAGTGATGTTTCTAGAGCCTAGTCCATTCCTGCAAGGTGGCTTGAAAGGAGATAATACCTAGATAACCACATTTGAATCTAAAGCACTTAGATCCACTGAAAAAAGTAAAAAAAGAAAATCAAATACACAGTTCACCATTCCTAACCCTCCTGTTGTAATCGACTCCAGCTCTGATCAAACAGCCAGCCCCCCCCAAAATCTGGATGCTAGCTACATGACACTTCATTTTCATGGGTATTACTAGCACAATCAAAAAACATTACTTCAAATATATCCGTGTTTGAAAACAGTCCAGGAGACAGAGACCAGAGACAAAGGACTGTCTAGAAACACCAACATCACATAACAGACTAAGATCCTGGTAACATAGGAACTGTCATGGGGCGACCTCGCTCCACACGACACCAAAAAGCCAAAGCTGTAAAGGCATCCCCCACTTCGAGGGTCCCAATTCTTTGTGAACCTTTTAATGGCAGAAAATCGTACAGAAGTGGCATCACTGCACATAGCTTCTGGATACCTCTCCTCTCCAACATCTCGGTAATCTCATTGTATATAAGCTGTCTGCTTGCTCCACTGGGCAACACTGACTACTTACAAAGTCCACCTGCACAAAAAGGCACGCAGTTTATGACAATCAGAATAAATCTGAAACTAAACTATCTGGTCTGGCTGAATGTCCACTGTAGAGGATACAGTCATTTATGTTTGTTCTTTAAGGACTGGAGGCACACTGCAAGACAATTATTTTGCTGAAGCATGAACTATTCAGGGAAAATAGAGTAATTCTGCTAAATCAGGATGAAACCACCAACACAAGCAACATCTCTATGAAGAGATCCATGTGGCAATTGGAGCCAATTCAGATTCACAAGAAAAGAGAAAATGTGAAAGTTATGAATACCAAGTTCTATGTACATCAGAGATTTATGCAGAGAAGATATTGCCCCTCCAGGCAAGCAACCTTTCACGTTGACCTCAAAATAAAACTGAAAGGATGCTCATAAGCAAAATAGTTTTAGTCATTTTGATAGAAAAACTCATAAATAAATGGCATTCATAAATTGTTCTGTTCAGGCCTTTTACTGATGAAGCAGGTGACAGCCTGGGTTATCCTATGTGAGTGCACGTGGACAGACAGAAATATTGCTGCTTTTCATTTGCCCAGACTCAGACCAGCCTTTAAATGGCAAACGGCATTTTCAGACACTGCATACCAAAACATCTCCTGCGCTCACAATCCAATCTTGCCACACACTGTGCATGCTCTGCTAATGTTGCTCTTGTCCTACCTCTCCCCCAAAGAGGTCAAATATCAGCACAAGCCCCTAGGATATGTTAGCCTCTATTATCTTTAAGATACAAAAAAAAAGGATGCTACGCAGCTTTATTTAAGCAGTCTTGCCTTAGCAAAGGGCTAAGCCCAGAGCTCAGTTACATGAGATGAAGACTCTACTCAGTGGGTCCCATTCTGGAAGTTTTGCTGTTTCCAGGGTGCAGTGGACAGGCAGGTAAAACAGATCAAGTTCTGTCACCCTCCACTGAGATCAGTCTTAATTAGTTTACTGAACTGCTGCAAGGAAGCTTTTCAACCACGGTCAGTGCAAATAACGCATACATTTTGGCAAGGGAAACGCTGACAGGTATGGCATCCTGCCTAGATTTAAAAATCCAGTGGAAGAGCCGTTCCTATGAATTTAGGAAGCAATCCCAGGCAGTAGGGATGGTTTTTTATCAATGGCAGACTAGAGATGGATGCCAAGACAAGAGATAGTTCAACAGCCATTGCCCTGCACCGTACCTATACCAGTGCCTTCCATACCAGGAGCACAAGACAAGAGGGGAAAAAGGGGCTGGAGGGGAGAAAGAAGCAGACAGCAGGAGGGCTGGAAGCGAGAGGAGCTCAGCACAAGGACCCCCAGGAACAGGGACACCAACTGAGGTGGTTGCATGTGCATGGCAGGGCAACAACCCTGCAAAACAACCCTGCCTTCAGATTTTTCCCTCCCACAGCCTCCTCTTAAAGCAGCACAAGAGTCAGAAGAGAGCTGATCCAGCAAGCTTCTACAGCAACCTCACCTCTACAGACCAAGAATGAACATCAGCACACTCCACTGTATCAGGTGAGTTTCCACCCCCATCACCATCCAATTTTCTTCACATCCCTGATCAAACGTGCCCTCTACCAACATTGGGAATCTGTGGCTTGCAGCAGCACAGATAATGGACGTTGGCAGAGCTAAGGACAATCTGTCATACTTGCCAGGCACAGATCAGCCTGCTACTGCAGGTAATGTCAAATTCCCTTCAGATAAATCTTTTTACGTGTGCTAGCAACACCACACTGTGTTCCGTTTTCAGTTTTACCAACTTACACTGACGGTAATAAGTCAAAGCAGTTGACTTAGCAGAGTAGACAAAGAGTCCCAACCCTGACTCCATCAGCATCTTCGCTGACATAAACTGGATCAGTTAATGCCTTGCAGTTTATATAAGGTAGAAAACTGTTCCCTTTCCAAGAAAGGCTACAGGTTGTCATAACTTCATCCAGAGGTGCACTAAGAGGATGGGGAAGAAAAAGCATTAATGTTAAAAATACTAAATGCAAGCAAACATTAAGCAATTCTGAAACACAGCCCATTTCCAGGAAGCTTTTGGCAAGTCAGTAGTACCACTGGTCACGCTCAGGTAAGGGGCCCTGGAGATAAGAGACTCCGCTCTTGGACTGTGAGCAATTTTCATACTCACCCATAGCCTGTTTACACATGCCTGCCTCTCTTCCTCCACCCCTTTTACACAAGCAGGGAATTCCCGCAGAAACAGCCTGCCTAAACAGCCTCTCACACAGAACCATGCCTGGCAAAACAAAACACAAGTCACCTTTCAAGAGCTGTGGGTACTTGGTATGAACTAGGTTGGTAAGATCTCCGCCATCATCCAAAATCATGTTGAGGGGCTGCCCATCCTTGAAGTACAGGGTCTGCTCAATGCACCACAAATATTCCTCGTCGGTCTCCCCTTTCCAGGCAAACACTACATGGGAACAAACACACAATTAGCCAGTTTCTTACTCAGCATATAGAATAGCAGCCAAAGGAAGATTTCATCAGCAGCTCTCAGTAGCAGAGCTGACAGACAGATGATTATCTGTGCCCGCAGGCCAGAAGAGACATTTGCATTGAAAAAAAAAGATCTCGGAATGAGCAGAAGTGAAATCACTTTGCCTTCTGTTCCAGGCCATGAACTTGGTCAAAATTTTATGACTCCACTGCTCTCCATCTTCCATGTTAAGAAGGAGAAGGCAAAGCAAACTAAAGTAGACTCACATCCACAACACCCCACTTGCTCCCCTAATACACCCTACATTACCAGGAATTAGTAAATAGCCACTGAATATATTGATACAGACAAATGAAAACATGACGACAGCATTCAGCATTTTCTAGCACAGCAGAAAAGAGGGATGGACTTCAGCACGAGCTAAGCACCAGCCTGCAAACTCTTCAGCAAGTTTGAGTTTAAATTCTAGCCTCTAGCGCAGCACTAAAATCCAAGCTGCCATACCTTGTCTGCTCTTATGAGGGCATATTTGTGTCTCGGTACCTCTACCACCAGCACCATGCTGCAACCCCTAGCATGTTGTTTCTAGCACTATTTTTGCCTTTCCAGGCATTTGTACTGGCTTCATACTACACTTGAGCCTAAGTGGTACTCAGCCATTCAAACACATACGAGGCACATGATTTACATACCCCAACATTTGGCTAAATTGTCATGTTTTCACTGTTTGCACAGAAAACTCACTCTTGAGCCACAAAGAGCCAATCATGCCCCTTCTGAAGAAACGTGCATCGGTAACTCATACTGCATGCAAAGGATCAGCATTCCTCCAAGGTCTCATAAATCCAGTATGTGAAATGCAGTATTAGTTAAAAGAATAAGTTCCACAAAATATGGATACCAAGGGCAGAGGTCAAAAACTTAGACAAATGCTCCACCTGTAAACTACTCCTCAGTTGAGTTTTGGGTGTTGAGAGTGGTGAGGAAGGCAATATCCCAACATCAGCTCTAGAGAGTCCCACTGGGTCCTTTGACATCGGATGCCAGAGGCAGGCAGAGGAGGCAATGCCTGCAGCTGGAAATGCCAAAGGAGCCGATGATGGAAGCACTTTCTTCTGTTACCTTAGAACGGACCACAGCTGGGGAAAGACTTGTGGCAATAACTAATGACAACAGAAATGAAAGACACCTCCCAAAGCAAAGAGCCAGGCTGCCTGAATTTAGCCTCTGCAACACCTGGGCTCAAGCCATGCACCTCCCAGCACAGAGCCATGAGGACTGTATGGCCTTAAGCTGAGAAACACAGCAGACAGCTTTGTGTATTCATACTGATCTGCAAGGACTTGCTTTTTATTGGAAGGTGACTGTAACAGAACAGCAGCATCCTGATAAACCACTTCAGGGATATAAGGCAGGAACACAGCTGGCCTAGCTCTACCCTTAAAGTATATGGAGTATTGACCCCATCACTGTAACAGGGCACACTGCAGTTAACAGCCCTTCCCTGACCCCTATTTAGCACCAAACTGCTGGAAAGCACCAAACACTTGCATCTACACACACCTACACACCAATCCACTTAATTACCCAGCCCATTCAATCATCTTAATGACTAGGCTTAAAGTTGGTAACATACAGGCAGGCTCTTTCATAGGCTAACACCAGCCATCATCAGGAATGCTATGCAAAGTCTGATGCAATGCAGCTTGAGTCAAATGTCCTGTTTTGTAACAATCACTGCTTTTGATGGGCTATTTCTATCCTAAGCTTGCTCAGAAGAGTTTGATGTGTACACAGTTTGATTTAGCTAGAACAAGCAGTACACCCCAGCTCGGAGCCAAATTAGAGCACAGAAAACTTACCAGGGATACCAGCTTTTGCAATAGCAGCTGCAGCGTGGTCCTGAGTGGAGAAAATGTTGCAGCTTGACCATTGCACCTGGAAAACAACCCAAGTTTTGTTTGCTGAACAAAGTTCTGAGATAGCAGGCACTCTCTTCCAGATATGGGAGTTAAAAAGGGAGCAAGAACAGAAAGGCATATTAGTGCGGATTCCTGCCTTTCTCAGTAGCTCTGCAAAGTCACGGTGAAAATTAATATCTGACTAGGCCAGGGAAAATGACATCACTTTGGGAAAGAATCTAACGGAGCTTTAGCCATGCCACATATTCAGCCATCTCCTTACTCACAAGAGCTTCTGCCAGCCAGAGCGTACATTCAGCTATAGATCTTCAGGAAATGCACAGTAGTGTGGGTTCAGAAGGTTTTGGTCAATAAAGTTCAGATTTTCAGAACATCCAATTAAGCACCCACTGAGGGATATAGACATCCAGCAACACACCTGCTGGCACTCAGGAGAGTCAGAAATGCAGCTGAAACGCCACACTCCATCAACAGGCATTCTCCAAAATACACGCTCAGCCAGATCCCACTCTGTGCTCCAGTCATGAAAGCTTTTCCAGCTGAGCTAAGCGTTTTCCACACAGATTTCATAACCAGACTCAGGCACTTAGAAAAGCAACGGCACATTGCTGAATTGCATTGAAAAGTACCTGCATACCTACTGCAGCTCCCCAGTGGGCACAGAAACCACAGCACCCCAGAGCCGCACGCGAGTTCTCCCTCTGCTCCCTACAGGGCTGACTGGCAGGTATTTGCATGCTTATTTGTAACAGACCTCAAGAAGCGAGGGCAGTAAGGCAAAACCCTTCAGCCTGTTTTCAGATCTCATCCCACTTTATCAAGAATTGACACGTCAAAGTAAGGGCTGCAGTAGGACACACCTCATCTGAGCCTGCACAGCCAACACTTGGAAGGAGCACAGGAAAACTGGCCTCATCTGGGTTTTTCTAAGCTCCCTCCATACAGACAACATCAGGAGGTGTCACAGAATTCAAAGTACACAGAATACCTATATATCATTTACACTTCAAGCACTTGATACAAGACATAGGCCACTTCAACTCTGCACCCTCAGATCTGCAACACCGTTTTGTGGTAATGGCATAGACCCTAGAATAACCGGCATACCTGATGGGCTCAGAGCCTAATACATCACTGGTTACTAAAAGGATGCATTTTTATTACAATTTTTAGAACTTACACTCTGAGGCACAGATTATTTATTCCATCTTTGTTAACCTTTTAAATCCTGTGGTGGGACAAGAGTTTCATATGCAGAGTAGCTGAAATAAAGCCAGGACTGTACCTCCACATCAAAGCCCTTCTTCAGCACTGCACCGTTTGCAACAGTGGAACAGCTCTGAACAGGCTGAAGAATACCGGCACAACAGCACGTTCCTTGCCCAGGCTGACCTGGCATGCTGTCTAGACCTAACCCCTCTGCTTTTTGAGGAAATGCCTTCGCTGCTACACAGCCAGCTTCCCTTTCTCCCAGTGCCTTTTGAGCAGCATGACACCGGTCAACTCTTCCAACCATTCCCAGGGAGGGATCCCATATAGGACACCTCTGGGCAGCCTGAGTTCAGGCAGCTAAACTTCAGGAAGAAGGAATTTCAGATCACATATGTACTTAATCCATCATCAAGGTCCAGTCAGCTCCCTGCTCAGCACAGGGATTGCATGGATTGGCTCAGATGCCTGGCTCTCCTCATGCCCTGTACCGCGAGCTCTCAGCCATGATGTTTGGCCTTCATTCAGCAAGCCAGGCAGAGGACACCATGCAGTAAATGGCTTATAAGCATCTCAGTCTTTAACATGGACCAGGGTAACTGGTCCATAGTCACACAGCAAACACTGTCAGGGGAGTCCCCAGCCCTCAGTCACTGAACCACGCTGCCCCCCTGTTGTTTTCCTGCACAGCCAAAGGGCCAGCATGAGCTCTCGGAAAGCTTCATTAGTTTTTGCTAACTTTACCAGGGCACGGTGTGGTTCTTAATACAGGCTAATCTCTGCCGGAGGCAGTCACTAGAGCTTCAGCATTACCAGCAACAGCACTGCATGCCCGAGCATGCAGTGGAAGCAGCTTTCAGCACCGCTGCTCAAGGTGCTGTACACAGACAGACCTGCTGAAGCCAGTGACCCAGCCCAAAACAGACACTTGTGAAGATGCAGCTTGTCCAGAGAGAAGACACATACCACATCCCGGAGGTGCATGCAGTACAGGTGACAAGCTTTTTGCTTAAGGAGAGAAGGCATAATCCATCCACCTGGAGACTGCAGCACAGTCTCTTCCAAAAAGTACAGACATTTGCCAGGATCCCCCAGGATAGTTACACAAGCAGAAGCAGTGCCCCAGGCAGAGCATTACCTAAGAGCACACTGAAGGAGAAACGTTACCTCAGCTCCCAGCTCTATAAGGGTCTCTATCAGAACTGCTGTCTGCACGGTCATATGAAGGCAACCAGCGATACGTGCACCTTTCAGCGGCTTTGATGCAGTGTACATCTCCCGCATCTTCATCAGCCCTGGCATCTCATTCTCCGCAATCTCAATGGCCTTGCGACCCCAGTCTGCAAGGCTGATGTCAGCTGCAAGAGAAGGAGGACAGGTGTCAGAGTTTAAATAGCTGAGACCTTGGTGTCTGTTCACACACTCATGGACAGGCATCGGCTGCAACAGCTGAACTGAACACCCAGCAACAGCTAGGAGACAGAGTTGGGGGAAAAAGGGACCCTATTCCAGTTACTCCCTGCTTTTTTTACTATGGTACACAGGGTTTCAAACAAGTTTAGACCAAACCTAACAGCCCCTCTGAAAAAAAGTGTGCTCCTGTATGAGCATATTAATCAACTGCGATCTAGTGTGTAGACATCCTGAGGCCCATTAGTTCAGTAAACCCCAGCCTTAAGCACTCCTCCTTACAGATACTGCCCAAGGGTCTGACACCTCCTTTAGAAGTTTACCACCACAGTATTAAGACTTGCATGAAGGATGGCTGCCTGTACAGCACCAGCTTCCCCACCCGAGAACACACATAGCACAGTTCCTGCCACCGGCACCAGGAGCTGAGCCCAGCCCAGCCCCCCCTCTTAAAAGCTAAGCTGCAGGGTTCCTACCCCTCTTGGATCTACAATGATTATTTTCAAGGCACCGTAACTACCTTAGTTACAAGTTTACTTCTGCCTTTGTAAAAAATAGTACAAAAGTTCAGCAAAAATTGAACAAAAGAGACTTCCAACAGGCAAGCTCAGGGTAGAAAATGCTGGACTCGCCACGGATGCCTGACTGCAGCCTTAAAAAGGGTCAAACAGCTAACACCTAGGTGCACTGCTCCACAGCACTGGCCAACACCAAGCATCCCTCTTACTTGGTTAGCTCTTTCAGAGGCTTCAGAAGCTTACCATTTAACTTAAGAACATGGTCAGATTCTTTTCTTTCACCTACCTAGCGAACACAGGGCGTTTAAAGCACTCGGGAACACTAGGACCTCCTGACTGCCACATTTAATACAGACAAGCTAGTTGCTTTATTGCTCCAGAATGAAGCCCAGGAGCCATTGAAGCTATCGCCTACACTTTAGCTAACTGGTGCACAGCCTCGACATGAACAGGGGATGGAGAAATTCTCAGTAGTTTTACCAGGGCTGCTTAATAATATAACCAGTAGTATTTTAGGTTCATAGCTTCCAAGGCAAATTACTTATGAATCTGAGACTTACAGACTAATGCTCTTCTCTTTGAACTTAGCCTTCAAAGAACACACAGCTCTCTATAAAAATTAGGGGGTTTTGTGGACTTTCAGGTCTAGACAAGTAGCTGCCAAAATCTTTAGGGAAACTGTAAGACAGGTCGCAGATTCAGAGATGCTTTCCCATTCGGAGCGACAGCCGGTCCCCAGCGAGGGGGCTCTGGAGGGGGCTCAGAGCCGCTCTGGGCAGGGGGGGCGGCCGGGCCCGCCGCGCCGTGGGCCCCAAGGCGGGAGCAGCAAACCACAGG